CGTTTGGCAGCAGTTGAGTTCCGGATAAGTCGTACAATAGACGCTTCGAAGCACATCTTCGGAACATATACAGACATGTATTTAAACTCCCTGAAAGTGCAAGAAAAAGAGTAGGAGTGCCCATATTGCGGCGAATTCGTAGTTGAAAAATGGCTCAGATCACTTGCCAATATATTAACAGAAACACAGAGGCCTGAAAATTGATTATCCATATACAGATAGTGGGGCGCACAGGCCTGCTTTTGGCTCTGAATTCTTCCACTTACAGTACACGAACTATTTCATGGTGATGATTACACGAAAGTCCCCAAACCATGCACATACTTTGCTAAATCGAATTTAATTGGTTGAAAACAACTGTTAGAAGAGCACAACGTAGTGGAATACTTCATATACCAAAGGGAACAATGTCCTCATAATACGTAATGTGCATTATTTTCGATGGAGAGAAGGGGTACGTGCGTCAGCTGCATGGGTCCCTTGCTACATGTTTCCCTAGCGAAAATACTATATTCTTATTGTAATCAGAAAACACCACGAAGTGGTGCATTTCTGAAAAGCGGCACTGTGATCTTCTCACCGCATTCGAATTTCTGGTCCCTGGCCCTGCAGACATACGACCTGGAGCTGCGCCAATTTCTTTCTTCTTTCTGAAAACGGCAGGTCCTGGTGACAGTAAGGGCTGTGCTTCACGAGGACTGGATCACCAACAAGACACAGAGATCGCCTTTCAGCGTGGCCAGACGTGGTTCTCGCGTTTTATGTTTACGTTTCTCTTTTACGTTTTGACGTGCAGAAAAGTAATTTTGCAAAAGGGCCTATTTTTGCGATTATTTTTACGTTTTTGCTGCTCCCTGGGACACCCACGTTACATGATGACAGTTGCGTACAATGGCCAGTCCTCCGCCATCTCCAGCACCCGCAACACAATGTCCACCTCGCCCTCGGCAAGGGCGATAATGGCGTTTCAACAAAACTCGTTTTCTGCCCTTCCAGAGCGTCTGGCTGCCACTCCCCGGACTCCGCAAGTCTGTATGTACTGTCCTTATGTACATCGAGCAGTTTTTACGTTGTATTTACGTATTTTAACGCATTTCTACGCGCAAAAGCGTAAATACGATCAGTTTTTGCCGCGTAAAAGCCAAGGCTGAACGTGGCCCTGATGACGCTGTCCCATCCCTTTCAGCGAGCTGCTCCGACTCTGCTACAAGAGCACTTCGAATTGCCCACGGGTCGGAAGCTGATGGCTGCGGGCTGGAGGCGGTCCCGCTCTGGGCGGGGACATCTTTGGCGCCCTAAATCTTGAACCACAGTAGCTCATATGGGGAATTCAGTGAAATGGAGAACCATGGACGCGGCAATCACTTTTGGATTGAACCAAGATCTAAAGTCGTCGCGCGTGGGTGGGTGCCGTCGCTACAATATGAGAAGTAGTTGATTATATTAATATCTTATTATACTATGAATCCCATGACGCTGAGCGGAGTTTATACCAGGGTTATGGTCCATACCGTATGGACATGGTGCAGCTTCAATTCCCCAATTTAACAGGGCATGTGTGATGATTTTAGTCAACCGCACCGTCGCATTGGCTTGCTGAAAGTTGCAATAGTGTATTCGGTGACATCCGTGTCCTGCATATCGAAGAGACTACAGTAACAACATAGCCGGCATATTCTATCAATGTCCCTGACATAGTCAAACAAATTATTTCTGTGTAGTAAACTTCTGAAATAATATGGAGGAATTGAGGAAAGCAAGAACTCGAAAATGGGCATCCAAGTCATCCCAGCTTGCATCATGCATAAGGGCGGGTCACATTCCAGGATGTTGACAGCACATGCCATGGGATTGCGCAGGAGCCTTTTCTTCTCTCTATGCTCTAAACATCGCTCTTTACCAAGAAAATAATTTATGTTCTGAGCCATGCCATAACTGATATGCTGTATTTTTTAACACTTCCGCAGCACAACTTAACACTTTGCCGTTTTTGCGGAGAAAAACAATAGTAGCGCAGTAGTAGTAGCGCAACGCTTGACCCTTTCTTGCAGGGCATCACAAATGAAGATACAAAAGCGCTCTGAAAATTCAAGTGCGGAGCAAAAAGTGTAACGGCGAAATTTTCTGATGCGGAACGGTTTAATATTTACTGTACGGGACATTGAAAGTTTGTTTAATTTATGTATAGATTAAATATATATGCCTTTGTATGTATTTGTAGACAAAGCTGCGTGCCCGTCTGTAATTTGAATCAGGGAATTCCCTGAGGAAAATTTACCTCAAGAAATCACGTAATTTTACCTGATTTTCATTAGAAAATATGTGTAGAAGAGTCGGAAAAGCTTTGCCTTGATGCAGTCACCATGTTCCACTGCTTTACATGAGATTTGGCTGCTATAAAAGTGCTAAATTTTGATTATTTAATTTCCAACATCTTCTAAAAATTCGCCAAGCACAAAGTGCAACGTGTGCATACGAGCTGTGTGGAAGTAAGATAGAACATAGTGGCTCCAAGTTTTGTCAACAATGTTTTCAGAAACTCGTAAGTATCTTTTCACAGTTATGTTCGACGATTTAGCGTGAATATCTATTGCTCAAGTTCCTATAAAGTATCACATTGTGTTACTCAACGTACAACGAATTTTTATGGTGGAAAATGACCCCAATTCGTGGGACTTTGTTTCCCGACTATATTTGCAAATTTGGAGATAAACGAAACAAAATTGAGCGCAATGTAACTTAGCTTAAGCTGCTTTGAATGCCGCGTTCGCATAAATGTGTTGCCTGGCGGGTTGCAGTGGGCTCTGGGTCGCCATTGTTGCTGCTCGACCCACCCGGCAACCGCATGGCTTCTGGGACGCACGCCCTTGATTTTGTTGTTGGCGCAAACGCTGAAGGCGCTCCATGCGGGACAGCCGGAAAGCCAGACATGTGCGCTGCAATGCATATGCGAGCTCTCGGGCGTGGCTCCAGACCAACCTGCAACCCATTGAAATGGAATGGTGACAGCAAAGCTGAGAATCGGTTTTCCGCAGGGGCATGATTTGAATATTTGGAGACACGGCGACTTTGAATGCGACGAGTTTCTCCAGGAATACATCTTGGATTAAGAGCAGCACCCATTAGGGTCACTTTTTGCCTCACGTATTTGTCTTTTTTTCATAGACTTTCCGCAAGTTGATGCATATTGCGCGCCAGGTCGGCATGGGACGCACGACAGCTTAAGCCATCAATGGCGAGGGTGAGCCCAGCATTGAATATTTTTTAGGCTAGGTTGAATTGTGAAATTCTGCCATACGTCCCTGCAGGATATCGAGAGCGTTGATGAGTTGGCTCCCCGCGCATGCTTCGCTGATTGCTTTCAAAATAATCAAGGCTTCATTGTGGAATTTCATTTAAATGAAGTCAAATTTGACTTTGATGAGGAGAGCTCTTTTGCGTTTTGAAGGTTTGGCGGGAGTAACGCGATCGTTGTCTAGAAAATGTTCTGCATGGTGGAGTAATTGAAGGATTGTACAGCGATCAGGCTTGAGGGCAAGAGATTATAGAATTTTGCCTCCTGTAATAAACAAGCTAATAGTGGCGGTGCCAGAGGACGCCTGTGCACGTTTGCGGCTTGTGATGGGCCAGAAAACAGGATATTTGTTGAAGGTCGTTCCGCCGCTGTCGTGCCAGGGTCTTGAATGGATGCTTAGTGGATGACAACAAACGGACGACCAAGAAAGTGCTCTTCTTGCCTTAAGTCACCTTACAATTTGCTGCACTTGGACATCCGAATTTCTTCAGGCAACGGGAGGTCCTCGCTCGTTGTTCCGCCTCGAACACACGGAGCAAACTGCAGCAGTTTTATCGCGTCAGGAGCTCAGGTTTTCAAGCTCTCATGAATGTGTCATCGGAAAAAATGTTAAAGCCTTTATGGTGCTTAAAATTAGTGCCGGTCGTCGATACCGAGTGCTGAGCTGAAGGCATTGTAATCAGATCATTCACCCTCGGGACGGCATGATAGCTATCCTACAGGGTGCATAACCTCGTGATAATTGAAGCATACAACAAGCCATTCTGGCCGTTAAATGTATCCCTGAGAATTGAGTCCAAGACAGCAGAGACTTGCGTCGTCCGTATTCAACCACCGTTCTGTATCTTTATTTTCAAAAGGTGCCTTCAGAGGGTGGTACCACTGGCTTTCTGTGGTATGGATATCCCACCTTAAAAATTTTCAGACGTATTTGTGCACGTTTGAATGGATTTTGAACAAATACAGTCTATTTAGACTGACCACGCCATTCATTACGCGCGCCAGAGGCAGAACCCCAGGCAGAACAGCGCCACCGACCTGAAGAGTTTGCCAGCGCAAGAGGCTCTCTTCCCGAAGGGAGTGCTACCCGGAGACCCGCGCAGCGAGGGCGGCAGACATGCTGGACTTGCTGCGGCCTCAGGGAGCGTATGGCCGGAAAAGCAACTCCCGGGGAGGAGTCGCTGGCAACAGCGAATACAGATAGCGGAATCTGGGCATCGGGATGGATCGAGAGGCCCTGGGCGAGCGGCAGAAGATGCGCACCCGGCGCTTTGAGCGGGCGTCCGTCCTGCAGAAACAAGCAAACTGGAGTGGGGAAGCTTCGTGACGCTGGAGGCGGTCAGGGGTTGGCATGGATGATCTGCAAGTCTCCAATGGAGGTCAGCCTTGAGCAGCTGGCGTTGCATGGGCAGAGATCTGGCCTGCAAGCATTTGAGGGAGGCTCCCTGAAGGTGGGCTTTCTTTGCGGTGGGTGGCATCTGGGGGTATCTGGGTCTTCCGCTTTGGGGTGAGTTGCCAGGACAGACGGGGATTGGTGGAAACTCGGGCCTATTGCCCCGGACACTGCAAGCAAGGGGTGCTTCATCCGTTCCCCCTAGTGTTAGACCTGTCAAGATGGGTCCTCAGTTGCTCACAACGGACTTCCGCATTGCCACGTCGACGTGATCTCGGCATCCAATGCGAAACTGGAGCCTGGCGCACCAGAATGAGGGAGGCTGCGACACAAGTCTACTCTCGAAGCCCCCCACGCCTGCCGATGCCATCCGCATGCTCCGTGCCATCCTGGCGCTGGCGCTGTTGCCCATCAGCCACCGGTGTCAGCTCTTGGTCGCCATTCGGCTTTGGAGCCGAGGGCGTTGCAGAGGCGCTCCTCGACGGCCGAGTGGCGCCGGGCGCGGATCAGGGTGGTGCCGGCGATGGCGTAGAGTTCCTTTTGGCCAACAAGCTCTTTCTGCAGAGGGGTTTGAGGTGGCGAAGGACTTCAGGATGGCTGCCTCTGAGTGGCTGTGCCAGTGGCCTTGAGGAAGTGGATTTTGCAGGATATCCGATGGGTCCAGGAGGCTGATCAACGGCTATGCCTCTGAGTGGGTGTGCCAGTGGCCTTGAGGAAGTGGATTTTGCAGGATATCCGATGGGCCCAGGAGGCTGATCAACGGCTATGCCTCTGAGTGGGTGTGCCAGTAGCCTTGAGGAAGTGGATTTTGCAGGATATCCGATGGGTCTAGGAGGCCGATCAACGGCTATGTGAGCAATGACATGCTGGAGAACATTGAAGACCTGGTGCCTGAGGAGACAATCACCAGACAACCCGGCTGGATATTGCCAACGCTTTCTTTTTCAAGGCTGGCTGAGAGCGCACCTTCGACAAGGAATTGGCTACCTCGATGGTGCTCAAGGGCTTTGCAGGGAGCACCCAGGTGCAAATGATGCAACAGCGAGGGCTTTTCTGCCTTGTGGCTGGGGCTCAGGTGGGTCTCCTGGTGGTACAGGAATCAAATGAAGTTGACAAAGCCCAGTTAATGAAGCCTCGTTAATGAAGCCTCTGGGATTCTAGTAGCACACAGCACCAACGAACTGACAGCATGCCTTGTTTGTGTTCTAGCCAGCCCTGTTGCAATACCCTACATGCCTTTGCAAGCAAAACTGACAATCTGTAAGACCTGCTTTGTGTGTATGTCATGTGCATTTTAGCTGGACACAACCAACGATTGCTTTCGTTGATGCTGATGAGATGCTTCTCTGATAGTGGCCTGTATGATGCTGTTCACCTCTCCCACAGATGTTGCTGTGTTTTGAATTGTACCCTGCTTAGTGTGTATGTCATGTGCATTTAGCTGGACACAGCCAACCATTGCAAGCAAAACTTACAATCTGGGAGACCTGCTTAGTGTGTGTTATGCGCATTTTGGCTGGACACAGCCAACGATTGTATGCGTTGATGTTGACGAGACACTACTCTGATAGTGGCCTGTATGATGCTGTTCACCTCTCCCACAGGTGTCGCTGTGTTTTGAATTGTACCCTGTTGCATACATCAACAGCCATGGCACTGTTGAACACAGGTTCCTGAGCTGCCGCACGTTGGCGGGAGAGTAAGCATGGTGATCATGTTACCAGAGAAATCCTGTCAGAAGACATTCCTGAAGTTGGAAAATGATTTGAGAAGCATAACAGTGATGGATCTGCTTCAACCCATGGACTGTGCTGGAGGGGACCGATTCCTCCCAAGATTTGTGTTGAGGCATATCTCGAAGTTTTGTTAAGCAGCTGGGCATTAAGAATTTGTTTCTGCAAGGAGCTGCTGACTTATCTGGAGCCGCGTCTGGATTGTATATGGAAGCAGCTGTTCACAAGGCCACGGTCACTGTTGACGAAAAGGGGCCGACTGCAGTTCTGATCTCCGAACCTTGCTGTTCGATGTCCAAAGCTGATCACCCTGTTATACCTTTGTTGATCGACAGGAAGAGCAAAGCCATAATGTTCAGGGGAAATGTCCGGTATGTGCCAGAATGAATGTTGAGGTGGCACTTGATTGGCCATTATGAGATTAACATATCCAAAAATGGACTGGCGGCTGAGGGGCCTGTTTGCTGCCATCCATGCAGCACGTATCAGCACGTACCAGCACCAGTGGCCGTGATGGTGACCGAGATGCCTAACTTTTGCGCAGGTCCTGCAATTAGCTGGACAGCAATGCACATGTTGGATGCAATGGGCAGAATGCCAAGAGAACACATATAACACGGTTTGGCATTTGCGAGCCGGTGCACTTGTCTGTGCCGCCGTGGACTTCTGAGTGTTGTGGATGCGTGAACGTCCAAAACACGATTTCAGCAATGCTATACGATCGAATATGGAACATGCAGGTGCTTGAATATTTTAATGTGGGAAATTGCCAATTTTCAGCCAGCGGTACCCTGTTTCTGCTGGCTCGGCCACCTGGATTCCGACCTCCAGTGCGGGGTATCATGATGACTACATGTTGTGGATTGGTAAAATGGTCCGATGCCCTTCAGTTCGGGCATGAGAGTCATGGAGGTCATTTTCTCGGGTGTATGAGTTTGTAGTTTGATTACCATTCAGGGTTCGCTTGCCAGTCATGGCCTTCATGACCCCTTCATGACCTTCGTATCCGGAAATCAGAAGTATTCAGACAAACCGCTGACTTTGGCGGAGGTGTCTGTTGGCACCATGTGCAGCCGTCGGTGGGCCAACTTATGTGGCAGGCGTCAGGGCGCTCATCATTTCGTGAAAACCGAGGAGAAAACGTGCCATTCACCTGCAGCTCCTCACCTGTTGACAGGGGTTAGGGGATAGTGCCCGAGGACATATCCAGATGTTCATCATATTGATGTTCGAATCATCTCAATCCCTGCTTTTCCGCAACCCGCAATAGCAGGGGGCCCGGGACGTAAGAGCGTGGATATAACAGTCCAAGAACATGCGCTTGAGCGTCAAATCACGCAGCGGTGCGAATGTGCTGGGCGATGGCTTCATTCGGTGCAGGTCGCCTCCTCGATGCGCAGCCATTCGGTGGTGCTAGCCGCATTGAAAATGTAGTTGAGCGCGTCCTCATTGCTCGCTATTTTTCCCTCAATGTGCGACTTTGCACCGCTGTTCCCTTGTGCACGGCCTGGGTAGGTGATGTCAGGCGAGGCACGCAAGTATGGTGTCAACATTCGGTGCAGGTCGCCGCCTCGATGCGCAGCCATTCGGTGGTGCTAGCCGCATTGAAAATGTAGTTGAGCGCGTTCTCATTGCTCGCTATTTTTCCCTCAATGTGCTACTTTGCACCGCTGTTCCCGTGTGCACGGCCTGGGTAGGTGATGTCAGGCGAGGCACGCAAGTATGGTGTCAACAAGCGTGCAAGGGGTGCACAGCACTATCGAATAGTACGCACCTGGCACTATGCAGTGTGACATACGATACCCCCAAAGCAATACAACGGAATTCTACACACAGGAGCAGCACTGATCTGTTTATCGCTCGCATGCACCCCACAACATGTAGCCCATGCACACTTATTATGAAAGTGTGCATTGAGCAAGACAATGGAATCATCCGAGGCAGGTTCTGGCGACTCCAACACATCCAATCTGCCAATGAAGACATTTTACACTCAATGAAAGTCGATGCACACCTCATGATCGTGGGTGGGCCGTTGAAGGAGCTCCCCAGCCAGCCCCGCCTCCAAGCCAGCCGGTGCGAATGAATTGTACAGACACTGGCGCCCAAGACGGCCTGCGCGCCTGGCCACCAGAGCAACTACAGAAACGAAAAGAAAACCCATGCCGACGAATACGCTTGTCCATCACACCAGGTCCAGCAGTCAAATATCTATCCGTTCCTTGAAAGACACATCACCAATGCACAAACTGGGGTGTGAATCGTCACGAACGCACCAGCTTTGGTAGGGGCCCCTTCACGTCACCATACGCCCTCCTACACAAGCGCATTGCTCGTCCAGTACTCCAGCACTGCAAGCAGCAGCACATGCATCCAGTACTATGCCACACTGTTGCCACAGATACTATTTGCAGATGATCACGAAGCCTCTGTGCGGTGGTCCCCATTCTGCGGTCATTATTCTCAGGCCGTCCCAGTCTGAGACACCCTAAAGGAGAGGTGCGTGGACACCAGCCCCAAACTCCCATCAGCAAAGCGTGATCTGATCTAGCGAAATATGGCATGCTGGCGATCTCCAGCTTCCACGACTGAGACTGCGTTGCCTGATGGCTTGGTATGAGGCAAGCAACTGACCCTCTAAGCGACGTCTGCAAACAATCCCCACCCCCAAACTCCCCTTGACCAAAAGTATACTACGGTAGTGAAGGACAGGCCACATGGAAAGATCCTTTCCACAAAGACACTTGATTCTTGATACTTGAAGTGGCCATTGTCCTGGTGTCGAAATGTGCAAGCCAATATGTCTACCTCCCGTGCCATTTTCGCCCTCCCTTGGTCGTCAGAACGAATCCCATCCACATCAGCCCCACATTCGTCGCAGCTGCCAACACGCGACTTCTCTCCTAGCGCGACCTCCCCCTACGCTAATGGCCCAATGCCCTCGCAGCCCACAGCGATATACAAATCCTCCAGCTGCATCAGCTGGAGCTACGGAATCTGGACAGCATCACATACTGAGCGCAACCTATCATGCTGTGCCGATTTGGGCGGTGGACTTTCTGGTTACGCAGCAATTTTGAATCAACTGTACTAGTCTTATCATTTTCGAAAACGCAAATCTGTCTGCACAGTTCTGATCTCCTTCCACGCCACCCCAGAGCGCCGCCCGGGCCACCATCGCATCCATAACTCCGCTATTCTCACTCAGCTTAGCTGGATGTATCTCGATGCCCCACAATGTCGACCCGATTAGCTCGTATTTCATAAGATGCGACACTTGAACTGATAGCTCATCAACTCTGTTATGTCCTCCGTTAAACTGCAGTCTCTGATCATCGTACCTAAGCGAAAGTTTGCCGCTGCCCACTGAAGCGTCATGGCGAAGAAGGGGATATCACAAAGCCCCACAGTGTCACAAAATATGACAGAGGCGCGATACAAACTCGATGTTCACTCTTTTATGTGGAGTTCACAGACCTGTAAGCGATTTGAAAACATGCCCTTGTACGTTTCCTTCCAACAGAATTCCTTCCACTGAAAAGCAGCGCTGCTGTCTTCTGCAGCAGCGCTGCCTCGGTCATAGCTCGTCGTGACCTTCGTTGATGATAGCTTCTATGAAAGCGTGGTGCTGCCTGATGTCCACGCAGATATCTGGCTTGCCGTCCGCCCCACAGGGAGCCCCATCCACGTTCAGGCCAACCAGGAAATCGAAGTCGGCCTTACCAGATCCAACATCATAGCTCGGCGCATCCAAAACCATGAGGGGCGACCCCGAGTCGACTGAAACGCAAGCAGGAAAGCTCCTTTCACACAGCTCAAATGCTGTGGTACAGGAATTCAGAAGTGCAAGAACCACTGTATTGGCGCATAAATTCATTAATTGCACCATCTTCCCTGGAAGTTGTATGACTCGCAGTGCTGGAGGCTTTGCCTTTCCGCATCACAGTACCAACTGCGATGGTGTTTTTGTCATTTTCGATACCCTTGAGATCAACATCTGGTAAACTTCAGTGAGGCTGGATACACCGTGCATCCCCCTTTTCAAACTCTGAACTGATCAAAATCCCATTGCTTGTGTTGACTTTTTGGGGGAGCGTCAGCGTGCTTGCCATGATTGCCAAAGTTCTGTTTTTCCTGGATGTGCAGCCAGAAGATTCCCATACAGTGGGTGGCTTGCCAAATGCAAGTCAAACGCGAAGGAACACAGGTCGGCCCACGCCCTGGCCCTTGTATGCAGGAAAAGCCTATTTTATACACAGATGGGCAGGCGGCCGAGCTGGACAGACATTATTTGATTCCAAATAGAGTAACTGATAACTTATTCACATATTGTGCCTATGCACAGGCACATTTGATCCCCGAACTTCAGCAACCCCAAAGTTCCCAAAATCGAAAAGAAGAAGATTCAAAACAATCAAGGAAAAGTCCGAAAAGAACATCCAGTATGGTATCAAGGACTGTCTCAATCTGTCAACACAGCATTCAATTGCTATCGGAACGTGGCTCAATTCACGTAAAAAACGAAAGAAGACAACACTGGCATCACATGCAGCTGCCAACATAAACAGCATCACACGCAGCTGCAACCACTGCAGTAGCAATGTGGATTGACTTTCCCCCTTGCGGGCCCTCGAACGGGCCTTGCACCTCCTGGATCGCGCAGAAATCCGGCCCTTGGATGAGAAACACGCGGGAAGCCGCTTCACATCTATCTATCTATCTATCTATCTATATCTATATCTATATCTATGCATATAACCTTATATATATATATATATATATATATTCTGTCAAGTCCTGTACTGCACTGGACTTAGACCAGTGCTTTGTTAGTTCTGCCAAAGGGGGCCTTTATGAAGTTCTGGCGAGAGCAGCCAACAAGGTGTGGTGCAGCACACTCACTGACGCATGAAGCCTTGTGTCCCTCGTTCAAGGCGCAGAACATGCCAGATGGCATTGCACCGTCCCACAGTGTGGTCCAGTTGCACGTGGTCGCATCTATAAACTCCTGCCGCTCCACTGTCAAAGCGCCAAAGATTGCTTCTCCGAGGGCAGGCCCACCGCTCTCAGGTCCCCACCCGCAGGCAGCCAGCTTCGTGCCGGTGGTCACTTTGAAGTGATCCGACAAGAGATTTGGCATGGGGCGGGAAGACGGCTGGGCCAGTCGCAGCACGGCGATGTTGTGTGGTGAGCGTTGCACTTTGCCCCCTTTGATCCATTCTGTATGAATGTCGCTCTTCTGTACCAGCCTCACCTGCGGGAAAAGGACTTGCTTCTTTTTATGACTGAATGGTATGCCTTTAGCCCTTGGGTGGGTATTACAGCGGTCACACAAACTCCTTGAGTGTATATTTATCTCACCAGTTGCATTTCCTTCCTGCTGTATTCTGTTCTCTCTGCACAGGAGAAGTCATCATCAGTTTCAAAGTGAGATAAGTCTCATTTTGCAGTTCTCTTTGAAGTGTATTCTTTATGTGTTATTGCAGAAGGACACATGCCAACACAAGCTTGACCACTTCTGAATTCCACCATGCAAAGCGCCATTACCAGAGTGTCTGGGTGGCATCTCAAACACAGCAGAAAACTGCAAAGCAAGCAGTGGAGTATATGAAGCAGGCTGGTGTGCATCCAGTACTGTTGATCCACTGATAGCAGCAACTTGCCAGAAACTGTTGAGCAGCAGCTTGTCCAATGCATCCTGTAGCACAACAGGTGCAACGGCATTGATTGCTGCCTTCTCTCACCAAATGCACATATACATTTCCTCAAAATTCGTTAATCATGCCAATTATGGGTCAAATTGTGCCGAACACGAGCATAGGACACCATAGCAGCTACAGCCCCTGGGGAACAAAGTTGGAGGAGTCTTGCTCCCCCAAGTGCCACACCTCAATCTCGTTTGAGTCCATCTGCTCCACGCTTGTGGCGCCAATGTGCACCACCGGCCGTGACCCAGCACTGTAATGTGAGTCTGGATCCACGCAGTGGGCGGCAGTGAGCACATGCCAGGGGCTGATAAGCACTCCAGTGCAGACATGGTCCCGGGTGCCCGATCGTCGGATGGATGTTACATAATCAAGCCGGCCTTTGGGGGCGGGGGACGCACTCTGTGATGGAGACAAGGGAGCGTGTTCAGCCCTGCTCTCAACCACTTTTCTGGACATACGACAGGAATTTGGGCAGCTTCCTACCCAACCGTGTTGTTGGGATGATAGGAGACAACTGGCTTTCCCAGAACTGAGTGAAATGGAAGTGCAAACTCTTGAATGGGGTGGGGCCAGGGACACGTTTTCAAAACCCCATCCACGTCCCTCTCGTGATTTCAGCTGTGTCAGACGGACGACCATGGACTTCAGGAGGTGTGAACGGAAGGGGAAGTGACCTTGCCATGAGCAGAGGGAGGTGGAGGGGCTACCTTTGCGTTGGGAGAACTCTGCCGAAGTTTGGGGCGTCGTGGACTGAAAGGGCGTTGGGAAAGGAACATCTTCGCCAGAAACAGAGCGAGACCGAGAGGCAGCTTTATGTCAGGACAGCACCCACGCAATTGCACAAGTTGCAGCATCTTTGGCTGGGCTAGAACATATGTAATCGTTGTTCTGTGATGTCGACCCAGCATCAACCTACTCGCGGCTGGCTGTACAGCACCCGGACACTAGCGGACTGCCCCTGCATTTTGAACATCTGGAAGCGCCCAGGAGGCCCCCAAACCAACGGTGGATCTCAAATCCAGAGAGGAACACCCAACCGCCTTTGAGCCCCGACAAGCGCCCCAGAAGCGGGGGCCATTACTTCCATCACCTCCCAGAGAGGACAGCAGGGAGTGCATCAGAAAGACGCAGGCAATAACAGCTGCGGGCACGAGGGCAGGTAACCGCCTGCAGCCACGCGCGCTCGTGACGTGAGCCCAAAGAGGACAGCAGGGAGTGCGTGAACGGCCACTGAAAGTGGAGGGACTGCGCGAAATGGCGATTACGAAATGCAATTGAAGCTCCCGCCGAAACCGTTTATTGAGGCCGTTACGAACACAATTTTGCTGGTTACGGCACCGTCACCAACCGATCTGGCACCAGCCAACTTCCGGCTGAGGGAGGCGTGGGTGCAGCGCGGGGAGTGTGATGATGGCCTGCGCAACGGCAAGCGTGCCAGTGCACAGAACAATTGGTGCAGCAGGGTGCAACGTGGGGTGGGTGAGGGCGAGAGGAAGCGTTCCGGCGGAAAGGGCGGCCGTTGCCGTGCCCAGCTGGTGATAGGCCTTGATCAAGAGGACAGGCAGAGTGTGACACACCCCCGGCTTCTGACGCGAGGCTCCCGTCCCGCCGGACTCCTTGGAAAGGTCCCCGGCGACGAGCTGCAGCTCACCTGCGGCAACGAGCCAGGTCACCGACAGCCCACGTGGCAAAATGGCGGGGCTTTCCAGAAAGGGCGGGAGTTTAGACATGCCGCGCGTTAGCAAGGTACAGCCCGTGGGCCGAACAGGATGGGTGTTTGGGAAGCTTGCTTGTGCTGCCTCGTTTAGGTCGACCGCAGCACTTCGAAAGTAGAGGGGCTGAGGAGCTGGATAAGGCCACTTGCCGCCCGCGTATTGCGGTTCTCCAGAACAGATGAGTGCATCAACGCCGCATGGCGGTCTCTGAGCGAGGCCAGAAGCGGTGCCAATAAGAGATCAAAGCCTACTGATCACCGCCAGGCGAAACGGACAGCGAACCGGGAAGGGCGCTTGCCCCGGCGAGCCAGGATGCTCAGCGCACGAATCCACTGTGCCAACATCTGATCCCAGCTAGGGCCGTGGCACAGGAGCCCCCGGGGCGGTTCGATCCGCCTCTCTGGAACTCGTGCCTGATCGGCCGCGGTGGCGGTTTTCTGTGCCCGCCCTCCCGCCCACCGGGTGCCCAAGCCACGGTGCCTAATTCGCAACGCACCTCCGAAGACGAGCCCCAACAACAGCGCGACGCAGGCCGCTCTCGCGGAGGCAGGGGGTGCTCCTCCCATGGCCGTGGCAGCTCCACGCTCGATCACGCCCGGGGTCCTCAAGCCGGGATTTCAAAACCCGAGAGAAAGAGTGAAAGTGAGAAAGGGAGCTGACGCAAGCAGTGACTGCAACCCGCGTCCCGGTGGTCCTTCGGATTGGGGGCAGTCAACATCCCCGGTCTCCTCAGGACTCCTGAGTCTCTCCCGGTCTCCTCCCTTTAAGGTGAAGTCGGAACAGCATAGTACCATAAAGTACTGAGTCTTGTACCACTATTCCCAACACATTGTTCCTGGTAACGAAGGCGATCTGCTAGATCGGCTGTCGGCAACATCGCTGAGGGTGCCAATGGCACCAAACGAGGAGCGAAATGTGCCGATGGAAAGCCACAAGGCACGGCAGGAACACCAGAAAGTCGAGTCGATGTAGGAAAGCACCCAAAATGGTTCTCCCTACAAGCCGTACAACAAGCAAATACAGCCGCAAGAATAGCTCCTTTTGCAAGTTTAGGTTTTTGTGCGTAAAAGTGCAGACGTAAAACCAAACCTGGCTAAGACAAATACCATAAAAAAATGGACTAAAGCAGCCTGGCACCCGTAGTACAATGTACTGGGCCAGCTCTCCCCATTGCCTAGACAGTGCCGTCTGGATTGTTTTGGAGTTTGAGGGCAAAACCCCCTTTGGGTCCCATTTTCCTATATGGTGGAGTCACAGATTTTTGCATTGCGGAGGAGAATGGTGGGCCCATGATTGCAGAACAGTGTTTGCCTCAGCTGAAATACCCAGTGAGCTACCAGATAGTTCCAACTCATCCTTGTCAGCAGGCTTGTTATTTGCGTTCAGGGCAGAATTTACGATTTCGACTACATGCGCAAGACTGCGTCTTCAAAGAATCGCCCACTTTTGCGGTCATATTTATGCGCAAAATAGTTTATGTCCTTAACATGCGGAACTCTGTGCTAAAGTAATAAAGTCGATACCGTTCGGGTCACCAGTATATGATATGAAATTTATGCCAAGCTGGCGACCCGTGAGCCTAAAGTGGTGGCTAGGAAGTGGCGAAAATCCATGAAACTGAAAAAGGGCTTAGTCTCCTCCAAATGGACGAACTCTAGCATAGAAGGAAAGCATGGAGACGACAATGCGGTAAGGCGTATGACTTTCTCGATGTGCGGAAGATTCTATCATGGTACAGGACACGATACCGACGCCAAGGAAGGTCTTGCATCCCAGGAAGTGACGCGACACACTGGGCTTTGTGTGCCACCCCTTTGGATGTGTGTGCTTGGCTCACAGAGCTGCGCCCTCACTCGGAAACCGCTTACGATAACGCAGCACTTCCGAAAGGATGGATCTGCACCGATCGGACGCTGCTTTGCACGTCCATTGGCTCGCACCAGCAATCGGGAACGAGGGGCTGCGAGCACCGATGGCAAATAGGTAGGACCGGTGAGGGCTACAACTCGTGGCGAATCCTCGCCGATGGATCCACTGGCAGGGTGGAGGTCTCGAATGCTGCCGGGATGTCGCTCGCGGAATGCGCAAACGGTGAGAAGCGCCAGTGCTGGTGGTGGCGCAACGCAGCAACGGTCTCACGGGACAGGTGACGGGCTTCGGGGGGCCAAATGATGTACCGCTACCGGGTTACTCACAGTGGCAGACAGGGCAGCGCACGCGGGCATCCAGTAAGACGCTGCAGGGCTGAGATTGCGCATCTCAAGCGCCTTCCCAAACGGGAAGACTTTGCCAAATGTCGGCCAAGATCGATGGCCACCTGAGCTTTGCAATGTAGTTATGTGAGGATTCGAAGAGCGTGCTGCGAGGTTTGCGGAAGCATGCTGCAATGTGATACGAATAGTAGAGTATGAGACGCAAGGAGAGTGAGAATTATGTGAGCTCCCATGTTTGGACGTGACCTGATAGAAATTGTATAAGATTTGATTGTACTGCCTTTTCTGACGTGGTTTGGGTATTTGGGGAGTGGCTGCCGTGCTGTGTGCGGGCCGCAGGCCGCTGTGCCCAGTGTCTGAGTGGCTGAACGGACGGATCATAGTACGTGAAGTTGTAAACACTTTGTTGGCATTGTCCTCGTGTGCGACCCGTGCACACAGGCCATGGCGCGCAGCCCGACCAGGTCGGCCTCACAACCAAGAGTTTAAGGTCTCCTGCGCTCGAATTTCGGCAGAGCGCGCCCATTCATTCTCGCCGTTCGAGTGCATGGGTTTCCAAGCGATTCTGTGAGAAACGAAGTGGCTTCCCGCGTGTTTCTCACCCAAGGCCCCGATTTCTGCGTGAGCCCTGAGGTGCAAGGGCCGGAGGCCAGTTTGAGCCAGATTCTCCGTGGCGCCGTTTTCGCGAGGGAGCTGTACGACCCCAGTTTCGTCTCCTTCCATGCATATACAATCGAGCCGGAAAGCGGGACAGGCGAAGGCTTGGCGCTGTGTGGATTTTCACCCGGGTGGCTGCCATGTCAGATGGGCACCTTTCACATAACTTGAAACCTAGACCTAAGCTTGGCAGCACTTTGCTTAATAAAAAGCGTCAGACAATCTGACTCGCATTCAATATCTTGATATAAACCTCAGTACTAATTTTCAAACGTCATTCGGATATCGGATCAAATGTTGTTTTTACCAAACTCAATACATTTTGGAATACAATTTCTTGGTATGTATTACGTATTTCTCCGCCACACCTGTTCATTGTTGTTCAATTTCTGCTGTTGCCTGTTACATATGTAGAGGTTTGCCCCTCAAAATATCTTACCGATAGGTAATGTAACCTCCAGGTGTACATAGCAGGAGCTTCAGACCCTTCTGTTTGTACATGAATGCAAAAGTTCAAGGACCTGCGACGGTGTCTGCGCATAGCTTCTCTCATGCTGCTGCCACATCGCGGTGGGCACAGTGATGCGGTGGGCAATTTGCAGCGTATGAACATCGACGGATCCTCCAAAGTCGACGTGTTGCAAGGAAAGGATACCACAGAGCGCCGAGGCTTCTGCACCAATTAGAAATGGTTCGCTTTGGGCAATTACGCTTGTGCACTGGAAGGAGCTCAGAAGACTGAGGGCCTCTTGAAGATATTACACAGTCCGCCTGGCGCAGGAGCATACTGATGCTGATAATATCAGTATTACTCCCTTTCCTCCTCCATTTCCACTATCCTCTTCGACCTCTCCTGCCTCGATATCTCTATATCCTCATGCACCCAATCACTCACCCCAACCCTATTACCACCGAATCCCCAGCCCTTACACACAAGCAGCAGTCCAAAGAGCAAATTCCTCGCACAGGGCCCTGAACACAACGACCAACATGGTCGCATCCTGGACACAGCAGAAAACATCGCGTCATGTCAACCCAAAGGCTGCAGCCCGCCCATCTGTAGATCACAGTCAGCATCTGCAAAGGTTCAGATCAAAAGTGGAACAAGTTTGTTGTTCCTTGAGGCTCAGCCAGCAGCCAGTGAATCCAGCCAAGAGCAGGCCACAATGCACACATAATACAACAACCGAACATTATGATAAATGATAACATTATGATAAATGATTGACGACTTGCAGCCCACGCGCCTGAGATTGCAGGCATATGTGCTATCACTCTACACACAGCGCTTTGGCACTACGATCG